TTTGCCCCCAGCATTTCACCACTCACTCTTCACAGCAAGAGAAATATCGACCTTCTCACTGCTAAATCCAATGATGGACTCTTGGGTCTTGTCCTGCTTGACCTTAAGGCAGCACTGATATAACTACCATACCCTCATCCTTCAAGAACATTTTTTCATTTGCCTTCAATGCTCTCTTGAAGTGGTTTCCTCCCATCTCACTCTTTCCCACTCACCTTTGATGAACCCTTCCCTCCGCCCCAGCTCTTAATGAAAGAGTGTCTCAGATTTGGTTCTTAGTTCTCTTCTCCCACGAGGATCTCATTTCCTAAACTCCAGACTTATCTATCCAGCTGCCTACTTGACATCTCCTCATGTCTAACAGAAATCTTAAACTGGTCAAAAACTGAACTCCTGATCTTTCCCACTTCTACCTTCAAAACTGCTCATCCTATAACCTTGTCATCTCAGATGATGGTAACTCCATCCTTCCAGTGGCTCAGGATCCAGCAAATCTTTCTGGACTCCTTTCCTTCTTATCTCACATCCCGACCTCTGGGAAATCATGTTCAGTTGACCTTCTCATATATCATCTCCAAGCACTTCCCACCACTTACATCTATACCACTCTAGCTATGTTAGTCAGCTTTGCATCATTGTGACCAAAATACCTGACAAGAACAGCTTGGGGGGGGAAGGTTTATTTTGGCTCATGGTTCTAGAGGTTTAGTCCATGGTTGGCCAATCCTTTGCACTGGTCCCAAGGTGAGGCAGAACATTACAGCAGAGGGCACGGTGGAGGAGGGCACGGTGGAAGAGGGCACGGTGGAGGAGGGCATGGTGGAGGAGCGCAGCGCCGTTCATGGCAGCCTGGAAGGTGGGAAGCGCAAGGAGGAACCCTTCCAGGGTACACCCTAGTGACCTACCTTCTCCAGTCATGCCCCACCTGCCTGCAGTTACCACCCAGGTAGTCCATTCAAACCAGGATGGACTAATTAGCTTACAGCTCTCACCATCCAATCATTTTACCTTCAAACTTTCTAGCATTAACACGGGAGCTTTGGGGAAACATCTCACACCAAGACCAGATCAAGATCCAGGAAATCATTCTTGACTCCTCTTTTGCTTATCTCCACACCCAGTCCTCCAGGTAATCATGTTCAATGGACCTTCAAATATATCATCTCTAAGCATTCCCACCACCTCCATCTATACTGCAGTGATAAGTGACCATCATCTCTTGCCTAGACAACCTGTAAACCTTCTAAAAAATCTCCTTCCTACCTTGCCCCTCAGTGGTATTTAGTATTCTCAACAGAAAAGTCTTTGGTGGCCCTTTTAAAAGCATGTCATATCATATATATATATATATATATATATATATATATATATATATATACACACACACACACACACACACACACACAACTCAACAACAAAAACACAAACAACTCTTTCAAAAAATTGACAAAGGACTTAAATAAACATTTCTCCAAACTGACACACAAATAGCCAACAAGCACATGAAAAGGTGCTCCATGTCATTAGTAGGTAAATGCAAATTAAAACCACAATTAGGACTGGGGCTGTAGCTCAGTGGCAGAGCGCTTGCCTAGTGTGCGTGTGGCACTGGGTTTGATTCTCAGCATCACATAAAATTCAATAAATAAAATTAAAAGTATTGTTTCCAACTACAACTAAATATATATATTTTTTATATATATTTAAAATAAATAAAAGCATTCTGTCACCTACAACTACAAAAAAAATTAAAACCACAATTAATACTATTTTTTAATGACTAGGACAACAACTTTAAAAATGAAGTAAAATACAGGTGTTGGATTAGGGATATAACCTAGTGGTAGAGCACTTGCCTAGCATATCAGAGGCCCTGGGTTCAATTCTCAGTGCTGCAAAAATAAAAATCAAATAATACAAATGTTAGCAAGGAGGTGGAGAAACTGGAACCCTTGTACATGCTGGAGGGAATATCAGATGGTACAGTTACTGTACAATACAGTTTGGTGGTTTCTCAAAAAGTTAATCATAAAGGGCTGGAGATGTAACTCAGTAGTAGAGCATTTGCCTAGCACATGCAAGGCCCTGGGTTCCATCCTCAGCACCAAAAAATAAGTAAATAAATAGATACTCTCCTGCTGCTCTGCCTCTCGCTGTCTCCACTCCAGCCACATTGGCCCCTTGCTGCTGCTCGATGCATTACCCAGCTGTTTCCTTTGCCTGAAATATTCTTTTCCATGGCTATCTGCTCAGTTCCTCATTTTCTCCATGTCTTTGTTCAGATCTCACTTTTTCCCCCCACAATTTTTATTGGTGCATTACAATTATACATAATGGCAGGACTTGTCACATATTCATACATTTTTTTTGCCCAGTATTGTTCCCCAGTATTTTCCCTTTCCCTTTTCTCCTCCCTCTCCCCAGTTCCTTTCCACTATTCTACTGAACTTCCTTTGATTTTTCATGAGATCCCTCCTCCACCTTTTCCTTTTTCCTTTCTAGCTTCCACATATGAGAGAAAACATAAGACCCTTGTCTGAGTCTGGCTTATTTCACTTAACATAATGGTTTCTAGTTCCATCCATTTTCTTGCAAATTACATAATTTCATTTTTTCTTTATGGCTGAATAAAACTTCACTGTGTATAGACACCACATTTCCCTTATTTATTCACCTGTTGATGGACAGCTAGACTGGTTCCATAGTTTGGCTGTTGTGAATTGTGCTGCTATAGACATGGGTATGCATGGATCACCATAGTATGATGTCTTTAATTCTTCAGGATAAATATGCAGGAGTTAAGGTATAGCTGGGTCATGTGGTGGTTCCATGCCCAGTATTTTGAGGAACCTCCATACTGATTTCCGTAGTGGTTACACTAATTTACAATCCCACCAGCAGTGTAAAAGTATCTTTTCTCCACATCTTCTCCAGCTTTTATTATTTGTATTCTTGATCACTGCCCTTCTGATGGTGTAAGTTTTGATTTGCATTTCCTTAGTTGCTAATGATGTTGAACATTTTTTCATATATTAAATCTCATTTTCTTATCAAAGCTTCTGCCTAATATCCTACATAATACTGCAACTTCGCCTGTCACCTTTGGACTCTTTACCTGCCTTTCCTTCTTTTTGTCCACAGCCCATATCATCTATTACTGTATTGTTGTATTTACTTATTGTGTGTCTACTTCCCCCCTGCTGGGCTCCCCAAGGGCAGAGATCTTTGTTCATTATTAAAGTTCCTAAAATAGCTGGGCACGGTGCAAACCTGTAATCCCAGCAGCTCCAGAGGCTGAGGCAGGAGGATCGAAAGTTCAAAGTCAGCATCAGCAATTTAGCAAGGCCCTAAGCAACTCAGTGAGACCCTGTCTCTAAATAAAATACAAAAACAGGGCTGGGGATGTGGGCTCAGTGGTTAAGTGCCCCTGGGTTCAATCCCCAGGTTCTAAAATAGTGCATAGGGCATAGTAGGTGCTAAATACACACTTATTAAGAGACTGTGATGATTAAATGTGACACTGTAAAATGCCCACAGTAATGCCTGGCCCATAGAAAATGCTCAATACACGACTGTACTATTATGATGTTTAAGTAGATCTTACCTCCATCCTCATGGGGTCCAGTCCCCTCCCATTTATTTATTTATTTCAATTGCGGCTGGGTCTCACTAAATTGCTGAGCCTGGCCTCAAGCTTAGGATCCTCCTTCCTTAGTCTCCCAGGTTGCTAGGATTACAGGTGTGTGCCACCATGCCCAGCCAGCTGCTTCAGATCTCATGAGATTGTTTTAATTTCTGTTTCTCACTAATTTTCATTCTTCTTTCTCGTTGCACCTTAACGTCACCCTCTCATTCAGAGGCCTAGGTTAGGCTGGATCCACCTTCCGTGGGCCATCCTAGCCTTTCATAGTTACACTCTTACAACACCCTGAACTCCACTGTAACAGTGCAATCCTCTGACTTTTCTGATAGTAGAAGCTCCACCAGGTCAGGTCAGCGACCCCTCGGACATGCTTGACCCCTCAGACATGCTCACTTGGGTCTCCTAGCTCAGTGCCGGGCATGCAGCAAGTGCTCAATAAAATGGGGGAATGGAAAAATGAAAGGACATATTTTCCAACCAGATCTCCTTATTGAAAGGCTTAGAGTCTTTGGACTAGGGTCATATTTCCAAGGATAGTGCTTTAAAGAAGCTAAACTGAAGTTGTGTCTTGCCTAAGGAGTCTCCGCAGCTGAGCCAGCATCCCAGGGCTAAAGCTGGGAATCTTTCCTCTAAGGGAAAATTTCCGAGGGGGCGGGGAATTGTACTGCAGGCGTCTTTCCTCCTCCAGGAGATTTTACAAATCCTCTGGGGCGGAGGTAATAATTCTCTGTTCCTTCTGGATTCCCAAATAATTTGTTCTTAGTTTTTCAATGGATTACAATTTTTGGTCTCCTTTTCTACCTACCCGCCCCCCTTGCACTTCCCAGAGACAAGCACAAATAAGCGTCCCTCTGGAATCACTAACTCCACGTTTGAACCCTGACTCCACAGCTGTGTGACCTTGGTTAAGAAGCTGTCCTCCTCTGGGGTCTCCTTCCTTGGAAAGTGATAACGCCATTGACCGGATGGGGCCATTGAGACAGGAGATCTGATCAGGCTGCTCAGGTGCTGGGCCGCAATTCTGGCAAATCTCAATTTTCTGTTTCTCAACAAAGCTTTGGCGAGTTGCCGAAATTTGGGGGAAAGTGTCCAGAACTGGGAATCGGGAGCTCTGACTTCTAGCCCGGGTGACCTTGACCAAATCCCCCTCCCCTCTCTAGATCTCAGGTCAGGGGTCTGGGAACTGACTGAGGTTCGAGGTTCTCCAGGCGGGCACCACCCCCAACCCCAAGCAGGAGACATTCTAAGATTCCAAAAGCCACTGAACTCGGGGGTGGGGGTGGGGGTGGGGGGCGGAGGAGAGGAGGCCGGGGAGCCCGATTGGCCTCCGCTCGCCACGTGTCGCGCGAGGAGCCGCCCGCGGTCCGCCCTGCCCATCCCCGCGCTGCGGCTGCTGCTGCTCAGCTAACGGGCTCCGACCCAGCGAGCTCCGCGTCCGCGCGTCTGTCCGTCCGCCGGCGACCCGGAGCCTCCACCGTGCGGTGAGTGGGCTGAGGTCGGAGAGGGGAGTCCTGCTCAAGGCTGCAGGGACAAGCGACAAAAGCCCAGTCCTGGACTGATCGGAGCCCCCCGCTGGTTCTGGGTAGCGGCGCGGGCAGCGGGGAACCGCTGGGCTCCGGGGGAAGGAGGGCGCGGTAACCCGAGAGTGGCTCGGGCTGGGTGTGTCTGCGGGAGCCCAGGAGCAAATCCAAGGCTGGAGGCGGAGAAGCGCCGGCGGACGGCGCCCCTGCTGGGGGAGGGGGAGGGGAGGGGCGCCCCGGCTCTGCAGAGGGTGTGGTCCAGGGCCGGGGTCGCCGGGGCTGGGCGGGCTGCTGGTCCTGCTGGCCTTTTGCGGGCTTGAGGGAACTTTGAAGGCACAGGGCTGGGGACAGCTGGAGACAGATCTAAGGACTTTCAGGGAAGGATGTGGCTGAGGCCAAAGACTGAGAGTATGAAGAGTGGACCCCTCGAGCTGCTTATAAAATGGCCTGTGTGTGGCATTGGGGGGGGGGGGCTGGTGCATACTTCAGGGCTCTGGTGGATCCCCACTCCCACCCACTCTGGGCCCCTGCTTACCTATGAAGGCCTCTCCAAAGGCTCTTGTGCGGTGGTGGTTTCCTCATCCTTCTTTCTGCTTCCCCTAAGTACAGTTCTATGCCTTCCCAAAGTTCGGAGGCTTCCGGTGCCTCCTAGAATGCTGGCAGGGGAGTAAATTACCCCAAATCCAAATCCCAGGGCCACCACAGCTTGCAGAGTGACCTTGAGCCAGTGGGTATCCCTCTCTGAGCCTCCATTTCTTTCTCCCAAGTTCAGGGCTGATAAACCTAGCCCCTTTCAAAGGAAACAATGGCTATAAAAATGGATTTATTTGTCAGCTGCCAAGACCCATTCACAGGTTTGGAAATCTTGATTACAGGCTTGAGATGCCTGGGCCAACTCTTACAGGCCCTGGAAGGGGAAAAGGAAGCAGAACGGAGTTCTTTGGGAGGATTTGTCTGCTTTCTCCCTCCCCTTCTTTTGTCTAAACTCTGGTGGGTCTTCCCTGACAATTCCAAATTTGGGCATATGGCTCCCGGGTTTGTGGAAGAATTCCAGTTTCCCCTCTAGAATCTGTCCTTTCCCTCCACTACTCCTTGCCCCCTTGACCAAAAAAAAAAACCCTTAAAATCACTAGTCCTCTGGGCAGGATGGCACATGCCTGAAATTCCAGAGGCTGGGGAGACTGAGGCAGGAGGATCTCAAGTTGGAGGGTAGCCTCAGCAATTTAGCATGGACTTCAGCAACTCACTGAAACACTGTCTCAAATTTTCTTTTACTTAAAAAAAAAATGCTAGGGGGAGCTGGGAATATGGCTCAGTGGTTAAGCACCCCTGGGCTAAATTCCTGGTACTAAAAAAAAAAAAAAAAAAATCACTAGTTCCAGTAGGTTGCAGTGGCAATAGTACAAGTCTGTAATCCCAGTGACTCAGGTGGCTGAAGCAGGAGGTTCAAAAGTTCAAATCCAGCCTCAACAACTTAGCAAAACCCTTAGAGACTTGGAAAGACCCTATTTCAAAATGAAAAAATAAAAAAGACTGGAGATGTAGCTCAGTGGTAAAGTGTCTCTGAGTTGAATTCCAAGCACACACACCAAAAAAAAAAAAAATCAAATCACTGACCCCAGATAGGATTTCCTGGCCTGCTTAGCCTTTCTAGGTGTATCTGCCATTTTAGCCCCTATAGACCTTGACCTTCTATCTGGCAGGCCCAGAGCTCTGCAGAGGACACTGGCCTGCTGCTAGTAGAAAGCTGGCTTACAGTTCCAGATGTGTTAGAATCCTTGGAGAAGCCCCTTGACTCTGGGCTTTTGTTGCCCACTAGACTGCTGTGAGATCCAGGGCTGGTGTTCTAGCATTCAACCATTCTAAGATGTAAGATTCTGGGAAATGGGTGGGGCTGGGCAGAGAGGGAGGCAAAAGCTTCCATCCCCTCTGCAGCTGTGATAGTCACTCATCCATCTTCCTCTGCTTTCTTTCCTTTGTTCCCAAGGCACCATCCGCTGGGATACAGCAATTATTTGTGGTTTCTGGTAAGGGCTGCAGCTGTTACTGGGGCAGAAAGTGGATTGAGTGTGCGGAGGAGAGGGCTGCCCTGAGGAGTCCAGAGCCTGGTCTTTTGAGATGGATCCTGGGATGGGTGGGGGTGGGGAGACCCTGCAGTGCTGGATGGCTGCCAGCATCTGGAACATCTGCACTGCAGCACCCAGAGGGAACCCTGGAATACCAGGCTCTAGCCTCACACCCAGCCTCTGTCCTGCGGCTAACCAGCTAGCTGTCCTGGGCACACCCACTGCCCTCTCTGCTTTAGCTCCTTCCTCTGTAGAGGGAAAAGACCTGTGCCGGGGGCACCCAGCTGGTAAATTGAGTTGGGTTTGTGTGGTTCTTCTTGCTGTACCATTCTAGTATATCTTGAGGAGGCCCCGTGGTGTCTCTGGCCTCACCCCCAGCCTCTCCAAGATACTTACTGGGTGGGGAAAAAGCACAGGATGTGGTCTCTACACTGATTCTTGAGCACACTCCCCCCACACACACACCTCAACTGCCAATGGAGAGGAAGTGTGTGGGGGTGGGGGTATCTTTATGCTTATATAGTTCCTGGCTTGGCTTAGAATCCAGCCACATTCCCATCTGCATTCCCAGTATCCTTTCCACAGGGACTGGCTCTAGAGGAATCACTGTCCATGACTGTTCATGGATTTTTTTTTTCTGAGCTTCAGGTCCCTCATGTACAAGAAGGGTGAGGCTGATACCTTCACGAGTGGCAGATATGAAAGTACGTTGTAAACTGTAGAGTGCTCTAAACAGAAGCAAGTGTTGCTGTTATAATCTGAGAAGGGTGTGGTGCTTGAGAAGACAGGTGACCTGGGCCTCAGGTTCCTCATTTTGTAAAATGCCATCTTTATTCTCCTTAAGTAATAACCATAAAAAGGTATAAACCATTATTAATTGAACCCTTACCATTCTCCAGGCCCTGGCTGATATGTCAGGTGCTGTTACTATTTATGCCCATTTTGCAGATGTGGACGCTCCAGCCCTCAAAAGGGGGAAAATAAGGAATAACAATCACAAACTCTTTATTCTAGTGCTTTCCATGTGCCAAGTGCACTGCTAAGTGCTGTACTCCTTAATTCTTTCACCCCCACCATAACTCTTGAGGTAGGGGCTGTTTCTACCCCCATTTTCCACATGAGACAGGTGCACAGAGGTTATGCCTATCCTGGGCTGCGTGGTTACACATAGTGTCATAGCTTCAGTCTCAGGTAGTCTGGCTTCAGTCTAACCTGAAAGACACTACATTTGCTGCCCTTTACAAAAGTGACCTGAGCTGGGATTCAAACCCAGGTCACACCATTTCCAATGCTGGGGAAGCCATATGATCTCCCCGGGCTTTGTCAAGCTGAGAATCAATGGTTCTGGGTCAGGAGGGCAAAGACACTGCTCTCTAAGAAACCTGAGTGCCTGGAGCTGGGGGGGTGTGCCCAGGCCCAGGGCCAGGGATGGCATTTACCCTCGATGCATCCGTGGAGGCTCCTGGAGGGCAGTAAGCTGCTCCTGGTGTCTTCCTGCAGATTGGGGGGGGGGGAACCATCAGAAAAGGAGGAAGGGAAGGGTCTAGATTTTGTGTGTGTGCTGCTTGGGATGGAACCCAGCGCCTCACCCATGCTAGGCAAGCGTTCTATCACTGAGCTACAATCCCAACCTGGGAAGAAGGTAGATTTTATAAAAACCAGGGCCTTCCAACACACTCTGGATGCACTAAAGATAATATTCTGGAATACGGGAAGAGACTGTCAGACTCTTAATGTACTTTTTTTAAAATTGATTTTATTATTTTTTTAAAATATACCACAACAGTGGAATGCATTACAATCCTTATTACACATATAGCGCACAATTACATGTACTTTTAATACCATATTTTTAAAGTATATTTTTGTTCATCATGCTAAACGCTATTTTTTCTTTTGTCACTGGTGGTGTATAGAATCCAAAAAATTTTGCAAACTGCTATATTAGACTGCCAGTTCCGTGGAGACAGCATTCCCATCTGTCTCGTTTTCTCTTCTGCCCCCAACTCCTACCAGTGAGCCTAGTTTGTTGATAAGTATTTTTTTGAAAAAATGAGTCCTGGGTTAATCAGTAATGTTCCTTATGGAGTTGGCCAAGTTGCCTAATCTCTCAAGTTCTTTTCCCTTTGGCTGTAGAATTGAGGAGTAAAGCATGGTTTGAAAACCACTAATCTAGACTATTTCATTTTTATTTATTTTTTCCTGTGACTTTTCAAAGACATCACTAACGGAAGCTTTTAGAGCTACTCCGGGCATTTCACTTGACAATTGTAAAGAGCCACCTCCGCTTGCCAAGGGCAAGATTTAACCTCTCTGGGGAGCTTAACAGAAAAGCATATAAAGTAAATATAATAATTTTCAAAAAAGGGTAAAATCATGACTCACCCAGATAGAAAAATGATCTTGAGTTAAAAATTTTATTGTCCTTATTAATCAGTGATAAAAGCAGGCAGGTAACCTGCTCAAAAGAGAATTGTAAATGCCTTTATATTGAACAGAATATGCAACTAGAGGTAAAACTGGTTTTTCCACTTGAGGGGGAGGGAAGTCCATCTCTAAATAGTCCAAAGACAATGAAAGCCCAGAATCAGATAGCCTGGAGGATTTTCCTTTGAATTATGGATTTTTTCCTGGAATACTTGGGAGGCAGGCAGCCTCCATACAATGGAGGAGTGATAAATTCATAAGGGTCGACCAAAGCCAGTCAGATACAGGTAGTTGCTGAACACTGCAGAGTTTCTAAGGAGGGAGAGATTGCCCCTGGCTTTCTAGAAATTGTGGCATTTAAATCTAGCAGGCAGCAGTGGTTCTTGACCTCCTTGGCCGCACATCAGAATCACCTAGAAAAGTTTTTAGAAATTACCAAAGCCCAAGCCTTGTCCCAGAGCAGTTGAG